CTCTTACTCAAGTCTGGGTGGGCATTTCTCCCTCCTGCCCAACAAAAGATACCTGCCTCTGCCTCTAGCCTGGTGCCATGAGCCCGAGGGGTGCGGATTCCTCAGCTGAGTGACATCATGCTGCCTCTCTAACAGCCTCTGCCCAGCTCAGCAGGACAGTAGACTCAGTTGACTTTCATCTCTGTCCACTGCCAATGCCTGAGTGTGTGCGTGCGTGTGCATGTGTACAGGGGTGCACATGTATGCTGTTTTTTAACTAGCTGTAACTTCAGGTTTTTCCTGGAAATTACCAATTTCTTTCCCTATATTTGTATCCAATTAAGGAAGTTTCTAAACCCATGCCCAATCATTTGTCTTTCATTTGGGGATCCGTATCTTTCCAAAGGCCACCACCTAAAAAGTGCCATTACCTCACTTGGTGACTCTGGAAAAGTCACTTTCTAGGACTCTTTCTTGTGTTTGAAATGAAGGCTTTGGTACAAGGGACTCAGAAGGTCCTATCCAGTGCTAGCATTTTAAGACTCTATTTAGTTATTTTAATATTTTAAACCATTCCTGCCCCAGCAAGAATTATTGGCAATAAACCGAGATACAGTTTTCTTTATTAATCATTTAGTCCCTCCACACACATTACATAAATACATATACATCCAAAAAATTTAAAATATTCCATTGGGTCAAGAATCTAAAAACTTCTGGATTACAGCAGACCTAAAAAAGGAGAAGTAAGAAGAATGTACAAGAAATTGGTACATCCAGGATGCCTGAGGAGGGGAACTTGAGAACAGAAGTGGGAGGCTTTTCATCATTTATTCTTTTGTGTCTTTTGAATTTTTTTTGCCACATGCATTTATTACCTCTTCAGTTTAAACATTTTTTTAAGCAAGAGAAGAGTTTTCCTTTCTTTTTCTTCTACCAAAGCCTCTCTGCGGCTCATTTCCTGGGGGTAGAGGAGACTGTGCTAGGACTAGCCCAGGCCCTGCCCAAGACCAGTCCTAGCCCTCCAGCTGGGTTGGCCAACAGCCCTGCTCCCCTGCCTGGCCCATGTGCATGGAGTGGTTCTGTGGGTGAGCACCACTGCTGGCTGCCCTTGCCACTGGCACTCCGGCTGTCAAACTGGTATAGAGACTCCATTCAAGGCATTCCAGGAAGGGGCTAGCCCTCCTGGCTCTAGCTGCCTGGTGGGCAAAGGGGCCCTAGAGTCCAGCAAATGGGGAAGTATGTACATCCAGCTTCAAATTCTCCAGATTTTGCCATTCACTTTCAAAGACAGACTGCTTTTTGTCTTGTTTTTTCTGTTGCTAATATAACATGAGGGCAGGAACAGGAAAGGAAAGTAACAAAAGGACCAGAGATGCACGGGGAGAAAAGGTCTTTAAAGCTCCCCTTTCTCCTGGCCCCGTCCCCATGCCACTGGCCTCTGCTGGGCAGAGCTGGGCTGCAGCATCTCTGGCAGGTCCCACTCCCCTGGTGGAGCTCCTGCTCAGCTTTCCCTGGTGACATCTAGCTGCTGCCCGGCCTTCTTTCACCTCCTTCTCTGATTATCCCCTTCGATGAGTGCTGGCTGTCACTTCTGTGTCCCCTACTTCCCTCCACCCCTCCTCTGACTTACCTATTTCACTGCCACACTGCCCAGAGACAGCCACCATCTTTGAGGTCATTGCCCAGACTGGTGCTGTCACACCAGTGGGCACCACAACTGGGATTGCTCAAGGTAGGGCTCCTCCACCAACTGTTCAAAATCCCCGTACCGACTTCTTTCCAGGGTCAGCAAAGCCCAGGTGAGGGCAGGTTGTCCCCCAGCAGGCTATACGAAGGTGCAGGCAAGAGGACATTCTGAGAAGCCACGACAGAGTCAGACAAGGAGCAGCAGATGGAGACACACACTTGATAGAGTGGACACAAGAGATGAAAAGATACAGAGTTGTGAGGAAAAACAGCTTCAGGGAAAGAAAAAGCAGAGAGTGAGAACCAATAAAAGTGTAATGAGTACTAAAACCAGAAAGGCCTGAAGAGAAACCATCCGGGGAGCAGCAAGAGGACAGCTGACATGAGTGGAGTCAGGTCAGAGAGAAGGAGCAGGAGGGCTGGGGCGGGCAGTGTGTGAGGGGCCGGAGGCCGGATAAGTAGTGCAACAGAAATCTCTTGGGAAGGGTCATTCACCTCCCAGGCTATTGGGGTTATTGGCTGCAGTGAGCAGAATCTTTTTCAAACACAGCAAGCATTTTACCTTGGTCTGCTTCCCTGTCTAGAAAAGGCTGGAGCCAAAGGCTGAGGGAACCATTCCAGGATTAGGACCCTGCACGGACAACAGAGCCAGGACCATGAGATCCTGGCCCCCCTCTGGGAATCAGCCTGCCTTCCCCTGACACAAGCTGCCAGACCACTAAACTCACAGTGTATTGATCCAAGTCCCAAAGGCTGTTTGTGTTCTCCACTTCCACTGGGAAAGGCTCGATGACTTCCTTAATTCTGTCTTCAAGCTTGTCAGAAAGCAGATGCTGTTCAAATGTGACAGCTGCTCTAAAGGGATGCTCCCTGGGAGATCCCTGACCAGTGGGAATATTTGCAATGATGACTGAAGAGGCCTTGGGTAACCCAGTAACAGCAAGACAAAGAAGAGAGCACTAAAGGACATCAAAAATAAAATGGCCCCAGGCAAACCATATGGGACTTGAATTGGAAAACACCAACAGCCTAGCTCCTTTCCCTAGACTGTGTATCTTTGGGGAAGACCTGACTCCTTAACCACCTGCCACGGAGGAGTACAAAATTAGGCTGGGAGGTAAAAGTGGCTGAGTGAAGCCAGCCATCCATCATGCTTTGGTTTCTGTCTGACTGAGAGGGTTGGGCACGAGAGGTCTTCCTTCCCTGGCTCTTGAGCCTGTAAATTGTGTAAAATATGGTTCCAGGCTGAATATAAGTCCTCTGCTCTGCATGACATTTATACTCTTGAAAAACTTAGTGTATCAATCAAATCAAATTTTGCCTGCCAGAGAAGCTGGCTTTTCAAAATAAATTTGAGGTCAATCCTATGTTTAAAGAGAAGAACAGCTTGTGAAGGTGAATAATCATCCCAGTTCATGTCTGTAACTTTGGAATTTTGAATGTCTGATTTGAGTGGCTATGGGGGTAGGGATGAGACTGTCTAGAGATCCACCTACAGTTTACTTGTAGGTTACAATTAAGTATTACTTTAAAACAAATAAAAAACTTAATCAGATAGGTGTGTTGCAGGGGCCCCTACTAAAGAAATATGAATTTTTAAAAATTGATCATGGAAAATTTCAAATATGTATTTTAAAAGTAGCAAGCCTAATATAAAAAAAAAAAAAACAACTCCAGATATCATCAACTCCTGGCCAATCCTGTGAGAAACATGGACTTTTGCACCAGGTGACAAATATGGAGAATGAACTTTATGGGAAAGGACAAATAGGATTAGTCATACAAAGCTACAGGTCCAAGTCTCTGCATAAATGCCCTAGACTAGAGCCTAGAGTGTAAAGAGAAGAGAAGAGAAACATAATCCTGGTTAATAACCAAAGAAGAAAGTTGAGACTTTAAAAAAAAAAAAAAAAAAAAAAAACTTAGCCCCAGTCCCAGGCTGAACAACACCTAAGTAACAGTAAAGTCTAAAGTCATTACCTTCAAGGAGGGAAAGGACTAGGGGTGGAGGGAGGAGACTCCCTTTCCATTACACAATAAAAAAATTTTTTTTGGTATTATGTGCATGCATTACCTGTTTTCAACAGTAACTTGTCAAAAAACAAATATGAAGCTTTGAAGTAACCACATCTACTAGATATGACAAAAGAGCAAACAGCCCACATTCAGACCACCAAACCTTCATCCTGTTTTGACCTGGATTCTTTGTCTTATTACAGTAATTTGCTCCAGTAGATGAATGCACAACCTTCCAATCCAAGACTGTACATAATCAGATGTTTCATTTGTTTGTTTGTTTGTTTGTTTGTTTATTTATTTATTTATTTATTTATTTATTTATTTATTTATTTATTTTTAGATGTTTCATGTAATATAAGAAACCCCAGCCCTGAGAGCTGGAGTAACTGGACTCAGGCCATGGGTTGCAGCAGTCCTGGAACCTGAGGGGTTGGCATCCATGCTGAGCCCAAAGCCCTGAGTGGGAGCCTGGCCAGAACCCATGCACCATGCCCTATCTCCTCATCAGCACCCACATCCACACAGAAGTGCACCCCACTCTGGTGGGCGGTAAGTACTCAGATCTAGAGCAGGTTCAGTATCTGGGGGCCTCAAAGAGAAGTGTCTTGGGAAACAACTTTTGTTAGCACTTTATTAATAACCCTCCTCGCATAGTCCTAGATGAGCTGAAATGCAAAGGCTTCCTTGTGCTGAGCATGACAGAAATGGGCCAGACACTGGTGTGGTGGCTGCACAAGGGGTGACTCTCTCACACTGAGGAGCAGACAGGGCACCTCTTTTTTGCATGGTTCCCAATCCTGAGTGTCCATTTACTCACTGCCCAGCCTCTTTCTTCCCAAATCGTTGTTTTCCTTAGCCCAGTACCCCTGCACTTTTCTGAAACCTATTGCAGCCAGTGGGAGACAGCAGGGGCCTTGCCCTGCTGTTTCCAGTTGCCTCTCCAGCTTCAGGCCTGGCCAAGGGCCCTAGAGGAGGTCATGTTCTGTGGGTAGGCTGGGAGGCCCCCAAGAACCAGGCCATCCTTGGCCAGGAACTGGGAGCTCCCAAGGAGCATGGCCCCAGGACTGGGTGGCAGGGTCCAGCATAGCTAGTCTAAGCCAGTAAGGGGTTATGATGAGTGGTTGCTCCAAAAAAAAAAGAGAAGAGAGAAGAGAGAAGAGAGAAGAGAGAGAAGAGAAGAGGAGAAGAGAAGAGAAGAGAAGAGAAGAGAAGAGAAGAGAAGAGAAGAGAAAAGAGAAGAGAAAAGAAGAGAACGAACCACCAGCCCTGAATGGTAACATGGATGCATACAATTTGTCAAAATTCACAAGCAGTGCTCTCAAGATTTGTACTTTATTGTATGTTCATTATACTGTGCTTCAATAAAGTATTATTAACAACAAAAATCCTAGCTTTTATGAATGAAAGAGTCAAAAATCGTCATTTCAAGGTTTACTGGGTTGGTGGTTCAGAGAAAACTTGTTTTGAGAGGACAACATGATGTAGACGTTTTGTAAGAACTTGCTTTTTGGAAACCATCACTACAGCATGTGCTTTTGGTTAAGCATTCCATGGCTGACACGCAACTCTATGCTGAAATGCCGAGAGGATGAGGCAAAATCTTGGCCAAGGTCAAGCTCTGCTGATGGTTTGAGAGGGGGACGGCAGCCAACTGCTCTGCACTTGTATAACATTTAAGAAAGAAAAACTAACCACAAGCCATCTTCTGTCCCTTTTTGGAGCCAACATTAGTCCTGTTCATTGTATCCAAGAACACAGAGGAAGCCATATGTATGTGGCTATAGCTCAGACCTACCAAACCTTCAAGGCCAAATATACATACTTTGATTTGAAAAAACTAAGCTAGCTGACTGGAATTCTAGTTAGCTCTATGGGATATAACAAAAGATGTCAGAATTTTAGATGAAGTTAGGGTTCATCAGAGGGCAGAGAAATACACCTTAGCCTTCCTTTTGGCTATCTTTTGGAACTACAGCAACAAAATGACCCTAATTTGGTAGAAAATGGGGGCTCATGTCTATATCTGAGCGACTGTTATAAAAAGAGCTTCAAATTTAGCATATTTGGTCCAAATCTGTGCTACACAAAGAAAAGCCAATATACCAACACCCTCTTTGGGACTGAAACTAAGCACAAGGATGAACTGGGAAATGCTCTCTGTCTAGTCATAGGGACATATATAGAGAGAGAAATGTCTTTTGATAGCTTATAAGATATAAACTTTATGTTTTACAAATGTCTGTCTTGCTGGTGGCCAGATAAAGGTAAGAGGGACAAAGTCCAAGGCCAGTCAGGGTTATACAAGATTCAGGCCCCCAAAACTTCCCAGTCTCCCTGTGAGTTGATCATGTTTTAGGACTTACAGGTGGATAACAATGTGTTAACACTGTGGATCCCTCAATTTTCTTAGGCAGTCATGACAACATAAAAAGAGAATATTTTTAGCTTATTGGTTTAATGTTTTCTTTTTGAAGTACCTAATTCTATTCAGTCCTCTATAGTATAGTCTTAATTTCTCCTATCCTTAAAATGAGAAACACCTACTCCTTCTTTCTCAATATCTTCCCATCTATAATACTTGGCAAACTTGCCTCATTTCCATTCTGTGCTTATCTCTTATTAAACCTTACAGCACTAGCAATGCAGTTGAAGATAAATATTTCTCTTCTTTTTTTATTGTTAAATAGTGAACTAAGTAGAAATGTGAGTTCCCTAAGGCCATGCACAGCACATCTCTGGTGAAAAGTATATTCCGACCCCAGGTGGAACACCAGATGGAGGAAGCAGGCTTCTCTCTAGTCAATGAGGCCAGGAGGACATGGTGTGGCATCCTGCTTTCCTCATTCCCCCTCTTTCCATGTACAGTCTCCATTCCCAGGGCTGGGGGCGGGATGAGGGTGTGCAACGAAGCAGAAGGTACACAGCTCCAAAGGGAAAGTGCCACATAAGAAACAGTGGGATGTATTACAGAACACTATAGCTAGGAGGGTCCTTATAGCACATCTAACTTCAACTTCTAACTTTATTGGTAAAGGAGCCCAGAGAAGTTATTAGTCCAAAGATACACAGTTAATGGCCAGAACCAAAACCTAAATCACCAGCCCATTCCTCTGATCCAACACACAACAGAACTGAGCATAGAGAAAAGCAAAATAGAAAGTTAAATCTATGGGCTACACCCCCCCCAATCAATCCACTAACTAAATAAACACACTTCTTTTAAAACTACCCAGGTCTCAGTCTCCCATTTCTTTTCAGCTGTTAGCTTACTAAGCTCAAATGCTTGCTTGGTTCTTATCCAAGACTTAATGGATACCCTGGTGACCTGAATAGTCAGAATCCAAACTCTGCCCCAGCATGTTGAAGTCTGAAAAGGGAGATTTTTGGGAAGCAGGAGTAGAATATAAGCCTCCCCAACTCAAGAATATTTTGGACCACACATCATGCTTATAATAATGCTGACTACAAACTCAGTAGCTTTTAGAGCTTATGAAGGCAGAAAGGCAACAGACTACTCACTTAGCAAGAGGAAAATGCAAGAATTGATAACAAGGAAGCTAGAAGGAGGGAAAATGCTCTGAGTTCAGTCTGGAGGGTAGGAAATTAACTACCTCCATTCAGAGTAGAAAATGACCTTTCCTACATTAGAAGAGGATACCTAGGATGTCTGAACTAGTTTGATATTCCCCATTCTTATGCAAAGAAAGTTCCAGATTATCCCCCAAATGATTACCCATTTGGTCCAGTTACCCACAGTGTCTAGGGATCTCCAACAAGACTGAACGATAGACAGATCTGGTTAGATGGAAATAATAGTCTAATGGACTTCCCATCTTCCCGAATAACATGCTGGCATTAGCAAGCAAGCATTGGTGCCTTGAGCAAAGGGGAGTGACTAATGCATCTCCTAGCAGGTTGGTGGGATGGGTAATTTGAACCAGCAGGCTCCCTGGCTTCATGTAAGCCCTGTGGCATCACCTGAAGTGAAACTGCTCCAGGACTGGGGACAGGCAGAAGGTATAAGGCTGCAGCATGAGGAGGTAACTTGGTGAATACCTAAATAGACTGCTGAGTTCCAAAGCAAAAGTATTCTGAGGACAATGTATTATATTTTTGTTATTCAGATCAAGAGTTCATCATAACAAGATCATTCTTACACCCTCATTCAGCTTATCTCATCCATGAAAAACTGATACCCACTGTTCCTAAAGGATGAGGCATTCCAAAAATGGCCACTAAGCAACAGAAAAGATGAAAGATTAGAAAGGACGCTTTTAACATATGTAATAATTAATAGACTAGCAAGCCAGGAAACTATCTTCTTTAAAAGTAAAAACTGATACCTTCTATGACAATGAGACATAATGAAGGAAAAAGAAAAGGAGGAAAGGATAAATGAATGAAAAACTCAGAGAAATATGGTAAACTCAGAATTTAGATTATAGTCAAATGTTAGGGCCCGCTGGTAATAGGTAAAAAAGGAAGCTGCACAAGAGCTCTTTCTGCCTACTGGGTTCCTAAGAGTCTAAAGTGAGGGATTAACATGGCTTTATTTCAACAGAACACATTTTGTCATCTGATCTCCATCCGTGACATGGATAAGAATAAGTAACTTATGGCTGCACTCTTAAAAAGCAACAAATCCCTGAATATTGTGCCTTGTTCACTTTAGAATAACAAATCACTGATTGCTTGTGTATTGTACACGCAAAAATATTTATCTGTAACTTTTATTTTACGTTTTTAAAATAGTGTTCCCAAAAAACATTGGCTACAAGAGGAAATAAGCCAATAAAGGGTAAGAGACAAGGGGAAGCAGAGAAAAGACTCTGAACCTCAAAACACAACAATCAGGGCACAGAAAGGCCCTTGCCATGACACTGACCTCTCACTACTGTTCACATGGAGGCTCAGCAAATGCACTGGGACATGAGCTAGAGGGTCAGAGAGAAGCATTTCCCTGATATATACTCCTAAAAGGTGATATCAATTGGTACTCCTCATTCCAGCAATGTGAGTCCCCTCTGCCTCATCTAATTTCTAGGATCCTATCCTAAGTAAGTCATCAAAGATATAGTCAGTCAAAGATTTATACAAAAGATAGTTCATCACAGCATTACTGATATTAACAAAAGATTTGAAACAACCAAAATTTTCAACAGTATAGGAATGAACTTTAAACTAAAGTATTATTTTTTTAATTTTATTTTTTTAACTTATGATAGTCACAGAGAGAGAGAGAGAGAGGCAGAGACACAGGCGGAGGGAGAAGCAGGCTCCATGCACCGGGAGCCCGATGTGGGATTCGATCTCGGGTCTCCAGGATCGCGCCCTGGGCCAAAGGCAGGTGCCAAACCGCTGCGCCACCCAGGGATCCCTAAACTAAAGTATTATAGAGCCACTAGAAATCTACTTTTAAAGATTAGGGGCACAGGAAATTAATTACTTGTGGTACCATGTTAAGTGAAGGGGGAGGAAATAAGATGCCAAGCTGTATATATGTAGGACTCTGAATTTTGTTTGTATTATATGCATTTTTAAATACTGAAAAAGAGATTCATGGACATACCAGCAAAGGTTAGCTCTTTTCTGGATAGAGGGAAGATGGATGGTTTTTATTCCTTTTTTAGACTAATCCTCTTTAATGAACATATACTACGTTTCTATCAGCAAAAAACAATAAGCATTTCTTTTAAAATATGCCTGTCCTAAAATATCTCATTTGAGATCACAATTGTCAGTCTTCCGGAAAGGGTGCTAAAGGCTGACTCAGAGAACAAAGAGTCAAATCTACACAGGAACTTCTGGGAAGGGTGAGAAATCTCATGTGCCAGTCTAGCTTCTTTCTCTACGGTGCCTGCTGGCTCTGTAACTGGGCTCTGCAGGAAGCTCTGTTGGAAAATCCATTTCTTCTTCCCACAGCAACCATTACACCTAAATGACCTTGTGTTTCTTCCCTCTTAGCATGAGGATCACAGGGAAAGAGAATGCAGGCACTCTACTCCCTGTTTCAGAGGAAGAAGTTTTTCTTTTAAACCTATCCAAATTATCCCAAATCAGTTACACAAATGTGGAAATATAAGTCATCGGTTATGTTCAGGGACCATGTATAAAAGCCCTATTTCTCAAGAATGAATATAAAACAAAATCTGTGAGTGCCACCTTGTGGCAAGCCTGCCTACTTTAAGGACCACCCATCAATCTCCATTGTTTCTGGACTCTCGAGCCTGGGGTTGTCACTGAGGCACATGCCCCACAGTTACCTACCACACTGAACATACTGTCCCCAAGGTGGCTGGTACTATTCATTTTCAAGGATTCCTAGTTCAGATCCCAGAAATACCTGGTTGAGGACAAGAGGAAATGAAGGAGCAGAGGAATAAAGTGCAAGATGTGCACATCCATCTGCTGACCATGTGTTGATGGGTTATAGTCACAATGCACACGGTATGTCTGTGCGCATGCTGTGTGTGGTACATCTGTGCATGGTATGTCTGCACGCACGTCGTGTGTGGTACATCTGTGCATGGTATGTCTATGTGCATGCTCTGTGCAGTACACCTGTGTGGATACCATACCGCTGCCACACGGCACAGACCTGAAGGATAAATATTTCCTCCTCCAAGAAGATTTACCGATTTTATAAAGCTGTGAAGAAAAAAAGTTTTTACATTTACAGTGAGCTTTGTGCTTAGAAGAAGTTTTATTTATCAGTGTTAGAATAACTATCATCAACCTGGGCACAATTTCAAAACTGCTGGATTCTGGTCATAAAATTATTTTTTAAAGTTTGCTACGATCTTGTAAAATAAAAAAGTTCTCATAGTTTAGAAAAAATACTAATCACTAATAACTTGATTTCATCCTCAAAGTGGTGGCTTTACTATAAAGAGATGAAACACCACCATTTTGAACATGTAAATATATGAGTTAATCTAGGAGTCCCAGGCATGAGAGCAGGTGGAGAAACCAAAGGACTCCAAGAGAGAATTAAGTGTTTAAAAAAGGTCAGTATTACAAATCTGATGGAACATAGACACAGAAAGGACCTGACATTGATTCTGAAAGAAGATAATCTTTGTCTCAGAAAGGGATTAAGCTAAAAACCTTGTACTTCTGGACAGGAGGATTGCAACAGACAGACAACAAAGCATGAAAGGGAAAGCTGAGCAAATATCAAAGTTCTCTTGAGAGACGGTGCTTATACTTCTCTCTGCCCCACCCAGTTAGAAGGCCTATTTCCAGAAAAGGATTTCCTTCAGTGTTAGGGTGGAAGCATATGGCAGGAAGTTGCTGCTTTGGTCCTGGACATGGAAAGGGGAGCATTCTCAAGTATGGAAATAAACTGAAGTGACCTAGATGGAATGGATCTCAACCAGGTGAACTGTGGGAGAGCCAAAGAGTTTGTAATTATGAGCTGGAACTGGGAAAATGAATCCGACTCCTTGTTCACCTCTCCAACCTCTAGAAGCATGTTTTCTCCCATCCTAACCCAATGGGATTAAAATACTTGACTTCCTCCTGTTTGAGAAAAACCAACATACTAGACAGGGAAGAAATGTATTAAAAACCTGAGCGTCTTAACAAGTCACTTCAGGGAGACTCCTTCATTTGCTGTCTGCACAGGGAAAGCAAAAGAAGGAAAGTAAAATGGAGGCCAAGGCCCTTTTGTCCATAAAAATAAAATAAGGAGGCAAAAAAGAATTCTTACCCTGCCCAACTAAAATCCAAAACCATAAGCTCCCCTTGAAGCAACAGCCTCGCTCCACCAGAAGCATCCTGGGATCAGCGTGGGTTAGCATTCCAAGTTGTAACACTAGGCTCTGACAATTAATGACACGGGAAGAGGTGACTTTCCCACCTTTACTCAGCTTCCCAGCTGTCCTAACCTGGGAGGAAAGCCGCTATCACGACAGCTTGATGGGAAGGTCTTCCCCATATTTCCGGAGCAGCTTCTGATGGTTGTGGTCCACCGACCACTGCTGGGGCAGGTACCTGGGCTGCATGGAGTCCAGGAAGTGCTGGCGCCAGCGGCTCTCCAGCTGCATGAGGGAGCGCAGCCCGCCCTGGCTATGGCACTGCACCACCTTCAGCCCATGAGGAATGTAGTTTTCATTGGAAATCCTGGCAAGACACAAAGGAAAAGGGTCTGAGGGAAGACTAGCACAGGATGGTCCCATAGATGGCTCTGGGTGCTGCAGGCCAATACATATACAAGGGTATCTGAGGAAGTTGCGAGACTTCTAAAGGGTTGGTTGCTTTAATGTTTGTTTGTTTGTTTGTTTGTTTTTTAAGATTTTATTTATTCATTCATGAGAGACTCAGAGAGAGAGCAGCAGAGATACAGGCAGAGGGAGAAACAGGCTTCCTGCAAGGAGCCCAATGTGGGACTTGATCTCGGATCCTGGGATCATGCCTTGAGCCAAAGGCAGATGCCCAACTGCTGAGCCACCCAGGTGTTCCTTTAATGGGTTTTTTAAAAAGATTTTATTTATTTAATTGAAAGAAAGAGAGCATGAGTGGGAGGAGGGGCAGAGGGAGAAGGAGAAGCAGACTCCCCACTGAGCAGGGAGCACAATCCCAGGACTCCAGGATCATGACCTGAGCTGAGGGCAGACACTTAACTGACTGAACCACCCATGTGCCCCTACTTTGTTTTTAAAGCATCTTTCCTACACCTGCCTTTTAAAAGAAGTAGTTTGGACATATTGCACACAATGCAACAGAAAGTATTTGGGGATTCTGAGCTATATTTGTGGGGAAGGCCACTGCACAATGCTCAGCCCCCACTAAAGGGGCTGTACTGTCTGGCTGACAATGAGTGAAGAATGTTGGTCTTTATTCCAGGGTTACTTAGGTACCAGCTTGCCCTTATTTTAAGTTATTCAGTCTGAACCATACTCAGTATTTATATGGGGCTGTTAAATCACCCTACATGTTCCAATGTTTCAAACACTGAAATACCTACATTTGAAATGCAAGGTGGTACATTTCTTTAGTGCCTTCTTTCTCACAGAAAGAATGCCAAACCGTATGGCTTAGGCTGTACAGTTAATGATAGCACTCTGTGGTGACAGATGGGAGCTACACTGGTGCTGAGCATAGCACAACACATAAACTTGTTGAATTCCTGTTGTACACCTGAAACAAATGTAACATTGTGTGACTATATGTCAACTACACTACAATTTAAAAAAATAATAAAAAAATATGGGGCACCTGGCTGGCTCAGTCAGTAGAACATGTGATTTTTGATCACAGGGTCATGAGTTCGAGCCCCATGTTGGGCCTAGAGATTACTTAAAAAATAAATGAATGAATGAATGAATGAATGAATGAATGAATGAATGAATAAATAAATAAATAAATAAATAAATATAAATATAAATAAATAAATCTCAGGGCACCTGGCTTGCTTAGTTAGCAGAGCATACAGCTCTTGATTTTGGGGTTGTAAGCTCAAGCCTCATGTTGGCTGTAGAAATTACTTTTTTTTAAATAAATTTATTTTTTATTGGTGTTCAATTTGCCAACATATAGAATAACACCCAGTGCTCATCCCGTCAAGTGCCCACCTCAGTGCCCGTCACCTAGTAGAAATTACTTTTAAAAAAAGAATACAACCACATCCATGAAAGTCATGTTTTGGTCCTGTGAAATACTCCATTGTGCAGCTAGGGCTGTTTAATGTGAAGATGAATCCCTGCCTTCTTCCTAACCAAGCAGAAAGGTCTTAAAAACTGCTCTGATGCCAGCCAAACAATGCTTTCACCTCCTGTGAGTAACAGTTTCTCTTCTCTAGGAAGTCCTTCCCCATTGATCAGTTCTCCTCCTTCCATCCACACCCACACTCAGCCCTCCCTCCCAAGCACCCCTCCCCCATTCTAGCAGGGCTAGTGCCCTCTGGGTATCCACAGCCACTCTCCTGCCTAGCTCACTAACTTGCCTATCTTCCCCCAAACAGTTGTTCTTCTCAGCCCCAGACATCCAAGTCCAGCATCCTTCTGTACCAGTCAGCAAGGTGATTTGTTAGAAAAGTCTGTGGCTGAATGGGCAAGTTCAGTGGTTTTAGCAAAAACATAGAGAAACTAATTAAAGAAACCAGTCTCATTAATTTCTCATGGGACCTTGGCAAGTCACTTAACTTTCGCCTTGGGGTAGCTAACATAAAACTTAGAAAATAACATCTATTCTGGGATCCCTGGGTGGCGCAGCGGTTTGGCGCCTGCCTTTGGCCCAGGGCGCGATCCTGGAGACCCGGGATCGAATCCCACGTTGGGCTCCCGGTGCATGGAGCCTGCTTCTCCCTCTGCCTATGTCTCTGCCTCTCTCTTTCTCTCTCTGTGTGACTATCATAAATAAATAAAAATCTAAAAAAAAAATAACATCTATTCTACAACCTCATAAAATAGTTCTAAAACTCACTAGTAATATTTTTTTAACTTTGAAAGATTTTAAAAATGCAAGATATAATGCTAGCAGTTACCAGTAAAAAATCAAAATCCCATTTCATAGGGTTGTTATAAGAACCAATTAAGGCAATTGTTAGAAAGTTGATTAGTTTGGTTAAATAGATAAGAATATCAATAAATATTTGTTTGATAAATGTTTGCTGCTATCTGTAAGATTTTTTTTGGTGACAAAACTATATAGGCAACCAGCATCGCTCTCACAGTTTTATGAACTTATCAGTGCAATTATTTCAGTCCTGTATTGGGAAAGTGACAATGGGAAGTAAAACTGTAGCAGGTGGCCAGAGTCCCGTTCACCTCCGTCATTTCTCAGGACCATAGGCTTCTCATTTAGGAACACTGAATTGAATCATGAGTTCAATTCTGTACTGATGGGGAAGGAGAAAAAGCAAGAATGAGGGAAAAAGGAGAAAAGTTATTTGAATGGTAAGAGCAATTCTAGCCAGTATTCCTTTTTTTTCCTAAGATTTTATTTACGAGAGAGAGAGAGAGAGAGAGAGAGAGAGAGGCAGAGACACAGGCAGAGGGAGAAGCAGGCTCCATGCAGGGAGCCCGACGTGGGACTCCATCCTGGGCATCTAGGATCACGCCCTAAGCCAAAGGCAGATGCTCAACTGCTGAGCCACCCAGGTGTCCCCTGTAGCCAGTATTCCATTCAGTGGGCCAGGACCCTGAGTACAGGTTAGACAGTGAACATGAGTCCATTGGTCTCAGGTCCCACATACCTGGATAAGGTAAGAGACACAAAACCACATACGTCATACTCATGGGCAACTTCAGAGATTTGAGGGTATTTTTTGAGTATTATTTTTATTTCCTGTTAGGATTTACTTCTGTATAAAATCTCTAAGGCACGACTACACTGCATTTGAAGTCACCTGCTAACCATGAAAATGACTAGGCATATATGACCCTAAAGGGTCTAGGATAGAAGGCAAGTCTCCTATGGAAAGGCAATTCCCAAACAGATTCTTCTATCCCAGCCCCACGGTACTGTAAGCCTTCAGACACTCCATGGGATAACAGGAGGCTAGGCACCACACCTGCCCGGCAAGCACTGTCACTAAGTAGTCAGGGTTAACATCACCAGGTTATTCCTCAATCCCTTCTCAGACCAGAACTGAACACTGTACCTTGTCTCCAGGCTGGCAGCCTCTTGAAGCATCTCATCTGTGACTGTATCTGTGTTGTAAAATTCTCTGAGTGCTTGCAGCAGCTCCTCCTTACGATGAGCAGGCAGGCCCTCTGCGTTGAGCAGGGCCCTGGCCCCAGACCGTACCTGCCGGCGCTCAGGATCTTCCAGCAGGCGCAGACCTTCCTCAGAGCCGATGGGGGCCTGGAACTCCCTGGCCAGCTGCTGCTTCAGGTGGTTGTCATAGTAGTTAGAGATGGCATGGCAGGAGGTACAGAGCAGCAGCACATCATGGGAGTTGTGGTCCTTCATCTCAATGGGGAAGTGCTTCCGGTACTCATGTGGAATCACGTTCTTCCTGCCAAGCCCAACCAGAAGGCAGTGCTCATTAGCATGTGACACAGAACACAGGTGGAACTAGCAGGCAGGCTACTGGGATTCTCGTCTCGGCCTAGACAGGATTGAGAAGTCTTGGACACCACAACCCAACAGAGATTACATAAAGGCAATACTGCCTCTTCCACTCTCAGCTTACCTACCTAGCTGTGCCTTAGTTTCCTCTCTCCTAGGAGCAAGTTCATATGACCTGCTAGCAAGAGTCAGCGGAAGGCCAAGGGCAGGGGGAGGCTATCAACCTTTGCAAACACTATACTCCCAGAAGGAAAAGTATCAGAGAAATGAAAAAAAAGTCTAAGAACTTTTAACGTCTGGAAAATAACTCTCTCAAAGCATGTAGCAGGTAACCTCTACTCCTGAAATTTTGGAAGCCTGGTGAGTTAAAAAAAGCCGATTTCCTTCATCTGAGGAACTCCTTACTCAGACTATTTCTGTGGCTCACCAAGACCCATCGTTATTTTCTTGTTTTGTTTTGTTTTGTTTTTTTTAAAGATTTATTTACTCATGAGAGACACAGAAAGAGAGGCAGAGACACAGGCAGAGGGAGAAGCAGGCTCCTCACAGAGAGCCTGATGCAGAACTCGATCCCGGATCCTGGGATCACACCCTGAGCCTAAGGCAGATGCTCAACCGCTGAGCCACCCAGGCGTCCCATCATCAAGACCCATCATTATTTTCTAAGGAGAACCGAGCTCTCAGGGAAAATCTCTTGGCAGCAACAATTATTTGTCTCACTTTGTAAGAGGAGAGTAGGAAAGTGATTTATTCCACTGAAGCCGGGGAGTACAGTGCCTTCAGGTCATCCAAATACAGGTATACCTCATTTTACTGTATTTTGTAGATACTGCATTTTTTACGAATTGAAAGTTTGTGGCAACCCTGCATCAAGCAAGGCTAGTGGCCCCATTTTTTTTTCCAACAGCATTTGTTCACTTTGCATCTTGGTGTCACATTTTGGTACTTCTCACAACATTCCAAACTTTCATTATTATAATATTTGTTATGCTGATTTGTGATCACTATCATAGGTGTCACTATAGTAATTGTTTTGGGAGGCCATAAACCATATCCACTAAGAAAGTGAACTCAGTAGAGAAATGTGTGTTTTCTGACTGCCTTATCATTCCCCTCTCCTGGGGCCTGCCTCACTATTCCTTGAGATGCAACGATACTGACATCAGGCCAATTAATAACCATATAGTGACCTCTATTTGTTCAAGTGAAAGGAAGAGTGGCATGTCTCCCCCTTTAAATCAAAAGCTAAAAATGATTACTCTTAGTGAGGAAGGCATGTGGAATGCCAAGACAGGCCAAAAGCTATGACTTCTGCTCCAGTTAGCCAAGTTGTAAATGCACAGAAGTTCTTGAAAGAAATTAAAAGTGCTGCTCCAGTGAACACATAAATGCTATGTAAATAAAACAGCCTCACTGCTGATCTGGAGAAAGGTTAGTGGTATGGACAGAAGATCAAAATAGCCATAGGGTTATAAGCCAAAGCCTAATCCAGAGCAAGGTCCTAATTCTCTTCAATTCTGTAAGGCTGAGACAGGTGAGGAAGGTGCAGAAGAAAAGTCTGAAGCTAGCAAGGGGTTGGTTCATGAGGTTAAGGAAGTTGTCAGGCAGCCCTGGTGGCGCAGCGGTTTAGTGCCGCCTGCAGCCTGGGGTGTGATCCTGGAGACCCGGGATCAAGTCCCGCATTGGGCTCCCTGCGTGGAGTCTGCTTCTCCCTCTCCCTGTGTCTGTCTCTCTCCCTCTTTGTCTATGAATAAATAAATAAAATCTTAAAAAAAAAAAAAAAGGAAAGAAGCTGTCTACATAACATAACATCAAAGTGCAAGATGAAGCCCCAAGTGCTGAAGTAGAAGTTGCAGTGAGTTATCCTGAAGATCTAGCTAAGATCATTAATGAAGGTGGCTACACTTAACAGATTTTCACTGTGAATGAAACATGGGATCCCTGGGTGGCTCAGCAGTTTAGCGCTGCCTTCAGCCCAGGGTGTGATCCTGGAGACCTGGGATGGAGGCCCATGTCGGGCTCCCTGCACGGAGCCTGCTTCTCCCTCTGCCTGTGTCTCTACCTCTCTCTCTCTCTGTGTCTCTCATGAATTAAAACAAAACAAAACAAAACAAAACAAAACAAAAAAACAGATTTTCACTGTGAATGAAACAGTCTTCTATCCGGAAAAGATGCCATCTAGGATTTTCATAGCTAAAGAGGAGAAGTCAATGCTTGGCTTCAAATTTTAAAATCCAAGCTGACTCTCTTCGTTTGGGACTAACGCAGTTGCTGACTTTAAGCTGAAGCCAAAGCTCATGGACCATTCCAAAAATCCCACAGCCCTTCAGAATTATGCTACATCTACTCTGCCTGGGCTCTTTAAGTGAAAATGACAAAGCCTGGATGACAGCATATCTGTTTACAACAGGATTTACTAAATATTGTAAGCCCACTGTTGAAACTATTGCTCAGGAAAAAAATGAATCCTTTTAAAATATTACTGCTCAGGGCACCTGGGAGGCTTGGTTGGTTAACTGTCTGCCTTCAGCTCAGGTCATGAACTCGGGGTCCTGGGATTGAACCCCACATCGGGCTCCTTGCTCAGTGGGGAATCTGCTTCCCCCTCTTCCTCTGCCTGTCCCCTCACTTCTTGCTCCATGCTCTCTCTAATATATAAATAAAATATTTTAAAAATAAAATAAAGGGGCACCTGGGTGGCTCATTGGTTGAGTATCTGCCTTCAGCTCAGGTTGAGATCCCGGGGTTCTGGGATCGAGTCCTGCATCGGGCTCCCTGCAGGGAGCCTGCTTCTCCCTCTTCCTATGTCTCTGCCTCTCTCTATGTCTCTCATGAATAAATAAATAAAATCTTTAAATAAACAAAAAAATATTACTGCTCATTGATAGTGTATCTGGTCACCCAAGGCCTCTGACCAAGATACACAAAGAGATTTTGTTGCTTTCAAGGCGGCTAAAACGACATCCATTCTGCAGCCCGTGGGTCAAGGAGTAATTTTGAATTTTAAGTCTTATTATTCAAGCTATATTTCATAAGGCTCTAGCGACCATAGACAGAGATTCCTCTAACAGATCTGGGCAAAGTTAATTGAAAACCTTCTGGAGGGCAGCCGGGGTGGCTCAGTGGTTTAGCACTACCTTCAGTCCAGGGTGTGATCCTGGAGACCCGGGATCGAGTCCCACATCAGGCTCTCTGCATGGAGCCTGCTTCTCCCTCTGCCTGTGTCTGTGCCTCTCTGTGTGTGTCTCATCAATACATAAATAAATCTTTAAAAAAAAAAAAGAAAACCTTCTAGAAAAGATTCACCATTCTACATGCCATTAAGAACATTCATGATTCATGAGAAGAGGTCAAAATACCAACATTAATTAACAAGAGTCTGAAAAAAGGTGATTCCACCCCTCATGGATGACTTTGAGGGGTTTGAGACTTCAGTGGAGGATGTAACTGCAGATGTGGTGGAAACGGCAAGAGAACTGGAATTAGAAGTGGAGCATGAAGATGGGACTGAGTTACTGCAATTGTCTGATCTCATGATAAAACTTAGAAGGATGAGGAGTTGCTTCTTGTGAATGAGCAAAGAGGTTTCTTGAGATGGGATCTACTCCTGGGTGAGGATGCTGGGAAGATTGCTGAAATGACAACAAAGGATTTAAAATATTACATAAAAAACTTAGTTGACGAGGCAGTGGTAAAATCTGAGAGGACTAATTCCATTTTGGAAGAATTTCTGCTGTGGGTAAAATGCTATCAATCAGCATCATGTGCTATAGAGAAATTCTTCATGAAGGAAGAGTTAATTGATGCAGCAAACTTCGTTGTTTGTCTTATTTTAAGAAACTGCCACAGCCACCACCCTGATCAGTCAGCAGCCACCAACATCATGGAAATACCCTCACCAGCAAAAGATTATGACTCACTGAAAGCTCAGATGATGGTTAGCATTTTTTAGCAATAGAGTATTTTTATTTATTTATTCATTTATTTTTAAAGTAATCTCTACACCCAGCATGGAGCTCGAACTCAGGACCCCAAGATCAAGAGTCACGTGTTCTGGGATCCCTGGGTGGCACAGCGGTTTGGCGCCTGCCTTTGGCCTGGGGTGCGATCCTGGAGACCCGGAATCAAGTCCCATGTTGGGCTCCCGGTACATGGAGCCTGCTTCTCCCTCTACCTGTGTTTCTGCCTCTCTCTCTCTCTGTGTGTGTCTATCATAAATAAATTTAAAAAAAAAAAGAGTCACATGTTCTACTGACTGAGCCAGCCAAGTGCCCTAGCAATAAAGGTTTGTTTTTGTTTTTGCTTTTTGTTTTTTAGAGAGAGTGAGCAGGGGGTAAGGGGCAGAGGGAGAGGGAGAGAGAGAAGCTCAAGCTGGATCTCACAACCCTGAGATCATGACGATCATGACCTGAACCAAAATCAAGAGTCAGTCACTTAACTGAGCCACCCAGGTACCCCAGTAATATTTTTAAATTAAAGTATATACATTGTTTTTTAGACATAACATTATAGCACAACAGTGTACAGTATAGCATAAGCATTATTATATTCACTGGGAAACACAAATAATTCATTTGAATAACTTTTTAAAAAAGATTTTATTTATGTATTTATGTATTTATTTACAAAGAAAGAGATAGAGCGTGTGTGGGGGTGGGTAGAGGGAGAAGGAGAAAGAGAATCTTAAGAAGACTCCATGCTAAAAAAAAAAAAAAGAAGGCTCCTTGCCTAGCATGAAGCCCAATCCAGCTTAATCTCACAATGCCTAGATCATGTCCTGAGCTGAAATCAAGAGTCGGCCACTGAACAAACTGAGCCACCCAGGCATCCCTAAAGATTTTATACTTAAGCAATCTCTACATCTAACAAGGGCTTCGAGCTTACAACTCCAAGATCAAGAGTCCCATGCTCCACCAAGTCAGCCAGGTGCCCCGACACACTCACTTTATTGCGGTATTTGCTTTATTATGGTAGTCTGAATCAGACCTGCAGTCTCTTTGAGGTATGCCTAGGTATGCATGTACTCCACGAACAGTATCAAGGCTCAGAAAGCTGTGAGCCACTCTAGGGAGGATTATAAGGATGTACAGAGAAAGGCAGCTTCTGAAGGGAATAGGTCACCAGTCATTCATGAACAAAGGGGAACCACTCTCCTTATAGCAAACTGTTACTTAGAAGGGTGTTGCCTTCTTGAAACCAAGAATGGGGCTCAGGATAGGTGGGGGGCACTATAGCAGGACCACACAGAGGGCAGAAGTTCTCAGGAAAACTGGGATGACCCGTGGGGACAAGTCTCTCAGCCGAAGTGGGCAGATTCAACCAAGGCCCCTGAGGGCTCCACATGTGGCTACTAAGGCAGTTTCCATCAGAGGCATGATGTGGCCCAACCCCACACTCACCGAATGTATGAGTCCTTCTTGCCACAGACTACACACAGGTTCTCCTTAACCATCAAGTAATAGTCTCCTGGAGATTCGGGTCTTCCTGCAGGTTCAAACTGTAGCTTGACCACAAAAGGCTCCTCACTCACCAGCTCTTAGAGAAAAGATTAAAGATCAGTGTTTACCCACCGCTCCCTCAGGAAAGAAGCCCCACCTGAAATGTTCCCTGGGTGTCCTGGCAGAGATCCAGATTTCTGGGTTTTGAATAGCCATGTCCCATTAGTCTCAGGGTCTATCTGCCTTCTTCTATCCCTCTCTACCCCTTGGCTCTCTCCCCTGCCTGTGCCCACATGCAGCTAAATGTAGATGGAACAGGACAGGGGAGTCTCACACCTCCAATGCCTTTGTCCAGGTACCACTGAGCTTTCCTTCGGTCACAAGTGCAGAGGGGCTGTCCATCAGGAGCATGGAGGAAGCAGTTGTCATAGAGGGGTGATTTTCTGCAGGGAAAGGAGAGATTAATCTAAAACTAGAAGCTAACTATGGGTCAAGGTATCAGTTGCTTTCCCACGTTGTCTGAGTGACTCCAGCTATTCTCAACCCTCGGCTCAAACATTACATTGATGGGAAAAAAAAAAAACAAATAAAGCAAAAAAAGATGTTTGTTCCTCCATCTGTATGAGGCTAGGAACTAAAAATGAATTCATTTGGGTAGTTTATATATATGTAACAAGGAGTGAGTTGGGTAGTATATACACAGCTCTGTTGTGAAAGTGAATAGGAGCACAGCACCAAGAAAACTGCTCTAGAGTAATCATCGGGTTAAACAAAGTAAATTAAAATTAAAGAACTTCAAGCTAAAGTAATGAGGGCCACATGGGTTTATTTCTGGCTCATACGTAATACTTGCTTCAATTTAATCATCTAATTCCTAAAGGCACCCTGCTACAGGGACCAAACTTCCACTCCAAACTACTTATTAGTCATCTTTCTGCAACAGAGGCATAAGTTGTGTGGAAAAACTCTCACTGGTTAGAGAATGATACTGGCTTAGAGTTGGATGCCTTTCTAAATAATCAAATACCAAATGAACAGGAAATCAGATGATGCATTTCTCCTGAAATGTATGAGACAATTCATGTTATTAATTTTCACAGCTATCCTGAGCAAACAAGGGGTAATAATTGTACCCTCATTTATAACTGGAGAAGTTACAGGGCCCGGGTCGTATCAGGATCAGTGACAAAACTAGGTTAAGCTCTCCTTATTTCCACTCAATTCTAAAGGTTAAAAAGTAAAAGAAGGAGGAAAGGAGGAAAATACACAAATAGATCAAAGGATAGCACTAAATGTTCTTGAAGGAAAGGAAAAATAAAATTAACCCCTGGAAAAAAATATTAACTCCTGGAGCACCTCTGCTACCCTATCACACAACTTTCTCCCCAGATTCAAGATGAGCACCCTTTTGCTGGAGGCTGGGCCCTGAGTCTCTCTCTGCCAGAGAACTCAGTTACCTGGCTGAATAGCCCACCCCCAGGGGCTTTCTTTTATGCCTTCTGGGGTCTCTCCCTTGGTGGTTGCCTAGCATCGTTCCATCCATCTTAGACTTCTTATTTCTTGGTTTCTGCTGAGCTTCTGCAGCTTCCCCATTAAACTCTTCCCCCAGTCGGCTGATTCCTTTGCTTCGGAATGGGATGTCTACCATATCTTGGCATTTCTCCAAGACTTTTCTCCAGCCAATGTGGTCATCGTATCCATCTAGAGTTGAGTTCCTAGAGAAAGGGTATCCAAGAAGATGGAGAAAGAGAGCCACTGAAATCTGGGCATCCCTGGCAGCATAAATCACCTGAAGAGAAAAGTCAGAGATCAGTGGAATCTGGAAGGCAAACCAGAGAGAGCAATTTCCAAGTCAATCACAAAGATGCAGACAACCATTAGGATCCTAATTCAAGATGTACAGTACCCTAAGCACCATGTACTTCTCAAAAAACCTTTTATGATGAGATAATTCACATTATACGAAAGTAAACTGAATATTATAAGGAATCTTCATGTTTCTTCTCTATTTTTTAAAAAATTTTATTTTTATTTATTTATTCATGAGAGACACACACACACACACACACAGAGAGAGAGAGAGAGAGAGAGAGAGAGAGAGAGGCAGAGACACAGGCAGAGGGAGAACAAGTCTCCATGCAGGGAGCCTGATGTGGGACAAGATCCTGGGTCTCCAGGATCACGCCCTGGGCTGAAAGTGGCACTAAACCACTGAGCCACCCGGGCTGCCCCATTTCTTTTCTATTTTCAATGAAAATAGCTAAAATAATGACTTATTCTGAATGCTAAAAAATCCTAAACTTTAGAAATAAGTGAATTTGGGACACCTGGGTGGCTCAGCAGTTTAGTGCTGCCTTCAGCCCAGGGCCTGATCCTGGAGACCTGGGATCAAGTCTCACGTCAGGCTCCCTGCAGGGAGCCTGCTTCTCCCTCTGCCTGTGTCTCTGCCTCTCTCTCTCCATGTCTCTCATGAATAAATAAATAAGATCTTAAAAAAAAAAATCAGTATATTTTTTTCTATCTGTTACCAAACCTGATGGACAGACTTTTTTCAAATTTGGGTGAGTCACAAGTCTGACAACTAGTACATGAACTTCAACTAGGTCATCATTTAGAACACCTGAAAGCAAGATTTATGAGAAGACTGCATGACTGTCAATCAGAAACAACCTGCCATACTTATTAATAAGATATGGAAAACAAATAGGTTTCAAAAAACAAAACAAAACAGGTTTCAAGCATGGGCCTCAAATCAAAAGTCACAAGAGCTCATCTCTGGAATTTATTTATTTAATAATGATAAGTCATTCTCCCAAGCAACTGGTGACAGGAAAGCTGGTCATAAATAAAAGTAGCCAAAACTATCATTAATAGCTTTTCCCAATAAAGGGAGTAAAGACTTTAAAATTCTCTTAATTCACGTTTACTAACCCAGCCTGGTAAATAAACTATTAGGAAGGATTTTTTATGCTTTTAGAATAAAACAGGTTTGAATAAAATTTTCCACCTAGACTCAACAATCTACACATCTATCAGCAGGTTGTCTCCCACAGGAAGAATGTGCTTGAATATGAAGAGTTTAAAGTATTTTTTAACAAACTATTTACAAATGATAAGGAAACCAAGGCACTTTCAACAAATGGTGTTGAGACAACTGGATGACCACATGTAAAGAATACAGTTGGATCCCTACCTTGCATCATATACAAAAATTAACTCAAAATGGATCATAATCCTAAATTTAAGAGCTAAAACCTAAGACCTGTAGAAGAAAACAGGAGTAAATGTTCATTACCTTGGGGTAGGCAATGATTTCTTGAATACAACACCAAAATGATAAGTGACAAGACAAAAAAACAGATAATCGGATCTCTTCAATATAAAACCTCTTTTGTTTCAAATGATGGCCTCCTCAAGTAAGTGAAAAGACTACACCAAGAATGGGAAGAACTATTTATACAGTATATATCTTTTTTTTTACACATTATATATCTAATAAGAGACTAGTCTCCAAAATATATAAAGAACTCTTAAAATTGAATATAAAGACAAACAGTTTAAATATGAGCAAAGGATTTGGATATTTCTCCAAAGAAAATATACAAGTAGGAAACAAGCACTTGACAAGATGTTCAGCATCATAATGAAATACAACTTCATACCTACTAGGATGGCTCTAATCAAGAAGACAGACAATAAACAAGCATTGGTGAGGATGTGGAAAAGTGGAACCTTCATACATTGTTGGTGAGCATATAAAATGGTGCAGCTACTTAGCAAAAAACAATCTGGCAGTTCTTCAAATAGTTAAACATAAAGTCTATGACCCAGTCCTAGGTATATATCCAAGCTAAGTAAAAACATATGACATATGTCCACACAATATTTTATAAACAAATATTCACAGTGGCATTTTTCATAACAATGAAAAAATGAAGACCATCCAAATCGCCACCAATTGATAAAGGCAGTATATCCATACAATGGAGTATTGCATTGCAATACGAAGAAATGAAGTACCAATAAATGTTGCCACATGAATGAACCATAAAAATATGTGAAGCAACCAATCACAAAAGATCATATATTGTATGGTTCCATTTATATGAAATGTCCAAAATAGACAAATCTATAAAGACAAAAGGTAGATTAGTGGTTGCCTACTGTTAGGGTTCTGTGGGCAGGAGCTGGATGGGAAGTGACTGCTAATCAGTATGGAGTTTCTTTTTTGGGTGATAAAAATGTTCTAATATTAGATTGTGGTTATGGTTGCACAACTCTATAAAAATACTAAAATCCATGGATTTGTACATTTTTTAATTTTATTCTTTAAAGTTTTTATTTATTTATTTATTCATGAGAGACAAAGAGAGAGAGGCAGAGAGGTAGACAGAGGGAGAAGCAGGCTCCTCGCAGGGAGCCTGATGCAGGACTTGATCCCTGGACCAGGATCACGCCCTGAATTGAAGGCAGACACTCACCTGCTGAGCCACCCAGGTGTCCCTATTTATTATTTTTTAAGTAGGCTCCATGCCCAACATGGGGCTTGAACTCATGACCCTGAGATCAAGAGTCTTATGCTCTACCTACTAGACCACTGAGGTACCCCAATTTGTATACTTCAAATATCTGAAATTTATTGTATGTGAGTAATATCTCAATAAAACTGTTAAAAAAAAGAAAAAGAAAAAACAAAGGAACCAAGGCACAAAGAAGTGACTTACTCAGAGTCACAGAAAGTCAGAAATAGCTGCAGAAAACAAATTCAGATAATCTGACTCCCAAAACTCTCTCATAGGATAATGTTACCCTGAAGATAGCAGCTAAATCTTTCTAATAACAACATTTTGGAAGGATGAACAAGTGGTAACCAACTCAGCAAACAAGAGAAGGCTAAAATCTAAGCCTATGGGGGTGGTAAATCAAAAATCCAAGAACCAAGTTACTTTGAGCCACAGAGAATAGCAAAGCATAAGGAAAGTTAGAGTACAAGTAGGGGTGAAAACAAGAAAATAAGGTGAAAGCCTCCCTAAGGAATACTTAGAGCTCTAGATCTCCTCCTTTATACCACAGGGCGGGCAATAACTCCTCCAACCCCCCAAAGAGTAAAGTTTAAGTGATATAATGGATAAGAGAGGATATAGGTCTAGTAATACCAGGCCTGGCGGAGGGTGGGGGCAAAGTGTCATCTGAGAAAGGGAATATGGGAAAGTCTACATAATGGATTGGTGAAACTACCAATACCTTTCCCTACTCAACAACTGGAATATAAGCAAAGGGGCTTATACCTCTTGGGCAGAAGACTAGATGATTCATCTCTGGAGAAACTGAGTAGCCTGAGAAAAAAGAGTTTCAGTTACTGACATGTGACTATAATCTATAGGAACTGATAATAAAGCTCACTGGTCCAAAAGCCCTGGCTATTTCTCCTAAGATCAGGAACACGACAAGGATGTCCACTCTCACCACTGTTATTCAACATAATACTAGAAGTCCTATCCTCAGCAATCAGGCAACAAAAAGAAATAAAAAGCGTTCAAACTGGCAAAGAAGAAGTCAAACTCTCCCTCTCTGCAGATGACATGACACTGTACATAGAAAACCCAAAAGACTCCACCCCAAGATTGCCAGAACTCATACAGCAATTCGGCAAGGTGGCAGGATACAAAATCAATGCCCAGAAATCAGTGGCATTTCTATACACTAACAATGAGACTGAAGCAAGAGAAATTAAGGAGTCAATCCCATTTACAATTGCACCCAAAAGCATAAGATACCTAGGAATAAACCTAACCAAAGAGGTAAAGGATCTATACCCTAAAAACTACAGAACACTTCTGAAAGACATTGAGGAAGACACAAAGAGATGGAAAAATTTTCCATGCTCATGGATTGGAAGAATTAATATTGTGAAGATGTCAATGTTACCCAGGGCAATTTACACATTTAATGCAATCCCTATCAAAATGCCATGGACTTTCTTCAGAGAGTTGGAACAAATAATCTTAAGATTTGTGTGGAATCAGAAAAGACCCCGAATAGCCAGGGGAATATTGAAAAAGAAAACCAGAGCTGGGGGCTGGTTTTCAATCCAATCCTGAAATGAGCAAAAGACACAAACAGAAATTTCACAGGGGAAGACATAGACATGGCCAATAAGCATACAACCCTTGATCTAGGGGTCATGAGTTTGACCCGCATGTTGGCTATAAAAGTTATGAAAGAAAATAAATAATCTCTTAAAACAATTTTTAGGGCAGCCCTGGTGGCACAGCGGTTTAGCGCCGCCTGCAGCTCAGGGCCTGATCCTGGAGACCCTGGATCAAGTCCCACGTCAGGCTCTCTGCATGGAGCCTGCTTCTCCCTCTGCCTGTGTCTCTGCCTCTCATTCTCTCTCTGTGTCTCTATGAATAAATAAATAAAAAATCTTTTAAAAAAAACATTTTTAAAAAAAGAATGAACAAAATGATTACAAGTTTGGTTTCAAATTTGGTAGCAATTAATTTCTCCTACCCAACTTTTTATTTTAAAGTTTTCAAACCCACAGAAAAGTTAAAAGAATAATAATGCCAACTCACATCCATAATTGTCAATATTTGCTTTATCTCTTTATAATATGGATACCACATACTTTTTCTTTTTGCCTGAACATATTTCAAAATTAAGTTCTAGTTATTATGATACTTCATCTCTAAATGTGTCAGCGTGTGCTTCTAAAGAACAAGGACATTCTTCTACATGACCTCACCATTACCACAGCCAAGAACTTTAATGGTGACAAAATACAGTAATATACGGTTCTATTTTTAAGGCTCCAATCATTCCAAACATGTCTTTCACAGATAGTGCAAGATTCAGGATTTTTAGTAAACTTATAGAATTATGCAATCCATCAGCACAATGTTAAAACACTTCTATCACCTCAAAAAGAAACCTTATAGCTTTAACAGTCATCTTCCACTTCTCCTGCCCCTAAGAAACCATTAATTTATGTTGTCTCTATATATTGGTATATTCTGAACATTTCACAAAAATAGAATCTGATGTGTTCTTTTGCAACTGGCTTCTTTCACTAAGCATAATGTTTTCAAGACTCAACCATGTTGTATCATGTGTCCTTTTTTATTGCTGAATAATATTCCATTGTAAGGCTATGCCATATTTTTTCATTCATCAGTTGATAGACCTAATCAACTTTTTTTTTTCCTAGTCAACTTTTTAATGTGTCTTTAAATATGAACGGACAGCCAAGGATCCAAACCTTGAAGAAAAATCGTTAATGTGAAAGACGAAGACCAAATCAAACATTTCAAATAAGGAACTCAGAGAAAAATGAGACAATATAGGAAGAAGAAAACCTCAGAAATCTTTAATACACTAAGACAACAGAAGATATTGTATCTGTTACACAAGAACAAAGTTATTTTAAAAGTGAATAGTCAGTGGAGACAAAGAATCTCTTGTCACTTAAAATTATGATAGGAATAATTAGGAATTCAATAGCAATGTTAGAAGATAAACTTGAGGAAATTTCCCAGAAGATAAAACAAAAAATACAGAAGGATGCCTGGGTTGCTCAGTGGTGGCTCCCTCTGCCTATGTCTCTGGCCCTCTCTGTCTCTCATGAATAAATAAAACCTTTAAAAAACAAAAACAAAAAATACAGAGATAGAGAAATCAGAAATAAAACATTTTTCCTAGGAAATCAGAGGATCAATCCACGGGGGTCCAATATCCAAATAACATGAGTTCTAGAAACGAAAGGGAAATTTTCAGGTAAATATTATGAGAAGTTTCTAAACTGAAAGGCATGAGCTTCTAGATTGAAAGAGTACACTGGCTTCTAATACTACAATGAAAAATAGCCCACACTAATGTATATCATCATGAATTTTTTTAAAGATTTTATTTATTTATTCATGAGAGACAGAGAGAGAGAGAGAGAGAGAGAGAGAGAGAGAGAGAGAGAGAGAGAGAATGAGAGGTAGAGACACAGGCAGAGGGAGAAGCAGGCTCCATGCAGGGAGCCCGACATGGGACTCGATCTGGGGTCTCCAGGATCACACCCCGTGCTGAAGGCGGCACTAAACCGCTGAGCCACCTGGGCTGCCCTATCATCATGAATTTTAAGAACTAAGAATAAAGTGAAGATTCTTCAGAAAGAAAAACAAGTGACATGCTCAGTATCAACACTGGAAGCTTTAAGATAGGGAACATTACCACCTTCAAAGTTCTGAAGGAAAATGATCTTCACCCTAAAATGCTATACTCAGCCAAAATATCAGTTCATAGAAAGGGAAGCCAGTATCTTTTCAGACATGCAGGGTATCATAAATTAACTTCCTATGCTCCCTTTCTTAATGTACTCTAAGACAAGAAAGGGAAAAGACATGGAATTTGAAAGACAGAGGATCTACTCCAGAAGAAAGGTGAAGGGACTCGCTAGGCTTACGATAAATCCAAATTCCAGGGTCAGAGCTGAGCAGCAGGGCTCCTGAAAGGAGCAAGATGACAAAGGGCTCTGTCTAGAAGGGACAGCTCCAAGGGAAGACAAAAGGAGTATGTCACCTCATGTGACATGAACCAGCTGAGAAAAGATATAGGGTTCCATTAAAGAGTCTAGGGTTGAAACAGTTAATAGGTAGACAGAAAACAAAGCAACAAAAGTACAAATTATTACTCCTAGGAAAACAAAAAGTTATATAAGAAAAAAACCTAATTGCAGCTTACTATGTGGCTCAGCTATAAATAATATCAATATAAGTAGATATTAATCTGATAAAAATGAGGATTTACCTATATTGAGGTGATAGGGAAGGGAATAAGTATTTGTCTGGGGACAGAGGAACTGCAAGAGTACTAAATCATGTCTTCCACTGTAAGAAGTCAAAAGATAGGGATCCCTGGGTGGCGCAGCGGTTTGGCGCCTGCCTTTGGCTCAGGGCGCGATCCTGGAGACCCGGGATCGAGTCCCACGTCAGGCTCCTGGTGCATGGAGCCTGCTTCTCCTTCTGCCTATGTCTCTGCCTCTCTCTCTGTGTGTGTGTGTGTGACTATCATAAATTTTAAAAAAAAAAGTCAAAAGATAATATGAAAAATAAAAAAGAGTAATATATGCATGTAATTTAAAAATATAATGGTAATTACCAGGAAGAAATGAAATTGGTTGCCACTGAGTGGGAGGAAGACAGGGAACTATTAACTGTTTCTTATAATAAGTTTTATAACACTTTGGTTTTCCAATTATCCATTTATATTTGTAATAAGAAAATTATGTTTTCTGAAAAGTCTCACATATACTAAATGCTAAAAAAAAATAAAACACAATAGGAACTCTTACTCTGTTATTTAAATACTATTTACAGGGTCACCTGGGTGGCTCAGTGGTTGAGTGTCTGCCTTTGTCTTAGGTTGTGATCCTAGGGTCCTGGGATTGAATCCTCCCACGTCAGGCTCCCTGTAGGGAGCCTGCTTCTTCCTCTGCCTCTGTCTCTGCCTCTTTGTGTCTCTCATGAATAAATAAATAAAATTTTTTAAAAAATACTATTTACAAAATATAGACCAGTTATCTTCAGTGAGTCTATTTTAAGGTATTTCCACCAAGGAATTTTATTTGAAGATTACAATTACAACTATATTTCATGAGCAATGCCTCTTCCATTCTTCAGCTACACTGGTAAGAAGTACCTGGTCCTCAGTAAGATTCTCAGCATCCCAGTTGCTGCAGCGAAGCAGAAGGGACTTGTCAAGTGAAAAGTTCAAAACTGTCTCGGCAAGGGATTTCAGGCTGAGCCCATTACAGAGCAAATTGTTTCTGTAAGAAATAAGTAAGCCATGTATCAAAAATGGCAAAAGAAGAACAGGTAAATCAAAAAAGACATAAACGGCCAATACACAGATGGCAGACACTCAAACCCACTAGACATTAAACAAAATAAAAATTATAAATAATTTATCTATCAGATTGCAAAGATTAAAAAAAATCTATATCTACTACTGATGGAGCATACAGAATCAGACCTCTAACCTAAAATTTGTGAACTGTTGGGCACCTGGGTAGCTCTCTGGCTGAGTGTCTGCCTTTGGCTCAGGTCATGACCTCAGGATCCTGGGATTGAGTCCTATATCAGGCTCCTCATAGGGAGCCTGCCTCTCTCTGTGTGTCTCTCATGAATAAATAAATAAAATCTTTAAAAAAAAATAAAATAAAATTTATGACCTATTTTTACAAGCCTTACAGAAACTAGTTTTTTTTTTTCAGAAACTAGTTTTAACAATAAAGAGCTATCAAAACTTTGAATATGAAAATTCTCTGACTCAAGAATTCCACTTCTAGGAATTTATCTTAAGGACAAATGTACATAAAATGGTCTTCATTACAGCACCATTTACAGTAGTGAAGAATTGGAAACAACCTAAATGCCCATCAACAAAAGGCTGGTTAAGCGTCTATGCAATTAAATTCCACACAGCTATTCAAAATGAGGATATGGATGGGGAGCCTGTGTGGCTAAGCTGGGTAAGCATCTGACTCTTGGTTTTGGCTCAGATCATGATCTCAGGGTCCTGGGGTTGAGCCTCACATCATTGCCCTGCTGGGCTCCATGCTCAGTGAGGAGTCCACTTGACAATTCTCTCCCTCTGCCCCCCACTCGCATGGGTGCTCTTTCTCTCTCTAAAATATATAAATATTTAAAGAAAACAAGGATGTGGATCTATATTGATGTGAAAAGATGTCCATGACATATTAGTTAAGTAAAAAGAGATTGTGAGAGAAAGCATTTATGTTAATATATATACCACATTCCAGAGGTATGTGTGTGATTCTAGGTATGAGAGAGACAAAACACAGAGGTAACTAGAAAGATATCAAACATATGTTAATGATATTATTTCTAGTTATGGGATTTGTGGTGATTATCTATCTTTATATGTTTCTATATTTGCATTGGCCAGTATTCATGTAATTACTTTTCAAATTTGTAAAAATGATAATGGTATTTTCATTGAGCAAGTGAAGGTACAAAAAAACCCCAAACAACCTTTTTGTCCTTTAAACGCTTTCTGATGAAAAGAGCTGCAGAGTGGTGGAAAAAATTAATTTTGTCCAAAGTTTGGAGATTCCAAACAAGATATAAATGTGAAAATTAAGAACACATTGGTGTACACAAGTGGAGCTAACTTCCTGGCTACCAAGAGAGAGACTGGAAGTTTTAAAGCAGGAAGCTGGAAGGTGAGAGTTCACATCAGGGTTACTGCATGCAGGACTCCCTCAGGTACTGTAGGAAATGAAATCATTATAATGATGAAGAAAAGGAAGTCTTTCCCTACAAAACCCAGCAGTAATTGATGGATTTCATTACCCCCAAAAGGTAGCACTGACTAAAAAGTAAAAATAGGTCCAGACATACTTAGGGAAAAATGCATAATGTCTTGGTTCAATTAGTGAAAGTTAAGGCTTTGGGAGACATGAAACTCTCTTTTGTTTTGTTGGAAATTATAAAAGTAATGAATGATTATTAAAAATTTAGACAACAGGAAAGTATCACAGGTGAAAAGTAACAGCCTATCACCCTGTACTTCCACTCCTCAGGAATGACTCCTAACAATACGCTGTGATCCCTCCAGACCTTTACTATGCACTAACAGACAAAGAGATGGCTAAGTGGAGAAGGAGATATCAATTTTGGGTACTTGCTTTGTATCTTGCTCTGCAACTTGCTTTATTACTTAATATAGCAGAGACTTCCATCCATGATAATAAGTATAAATGTACTTCTTTTATTCTTTTTAATAGCTGTGTAATTTTTCAAGCATGGATAGTCCATAATTCTTGAAATCATTACCCTTGTTGAAGGACAGTACTTAATTTTTAAGCTATTTAATTCCATTTAGGTCGTTAGTCTTTTCTTAAATGTCATATTTGGAAAGGTTGCACATTTCTTGAGGATTAATTAAAAATAAGATGCCATCTTTGCCATTTCAAAATTTCACTAGGAAAGATTCCAAAGTCATGTACAACAATCTCTATAATAAATCATCTTTGGTTAACATATAACACAAAATATAAAGAGTAAGAAGAAGAGAGCATTACCCCCAAAAATGTGCTCTTCCCAACGTCAATTGAAAGTAACTTACGGCAAACATCAGGAGCAACCTATAGCTAATAGTACAAAGTATAATCCTTGCACTCTAATGTCAAATTTCTTAAACTATGTCAAAAATGTTAAATTTTACTACTTAAGTGTTCAACAATAAAGTAATTAAAGAAAAAAATTTAAATCTCATTAAAAACTGAAAGGCCTGATAAATACTTAATTCTTATTTCTAAAGAAGTTCATGGTAATATTCAGCTTTGGCCAAATCCTTATTTTGATGCATGGCCATTCTGCACTTAGTGAAACAGAATCTGCGCACCTCTAATTTCTATCTATTAATGGAGAGGACTGTAATTGCACAAAGAGATCTGGAAGGACACACTGATCAGATGATGGCTCTGAAGGAGGCAGTGACAATGAGGACGATGATGATGACAGTATTAGCTGAACACAGCAGTAACCACAATGTCTCTGTGTGAAATACTATTTCTAACTTTTCCACACAGTTTAACTCTTGCAATTCTCACTAATTCTGGGAGGCAGGGGGATCCCTGGGTGGCGCAGCGGTTTGGCGCCTGCCTTTGGCCCAGGGCGCGATCCTGGAGGCCCGGGATCGAATCCCACATCGGGCTCCCGGTGCATGGAGCCTGCTTCTCCCTCCGCCTGTGTCTCTGCCTCTCTCTCTCTCTCTCTCTCTCTGTGACTATCATAAGTAAATAAAAAAAATAAATAAATAAATAAAAAAAAATAAAATTCTGGGAGGCAGGAACCTAATTATTGCTGCAGATGAGGAAAGTAAGGAAGAGGGAGGCTCAGTAACCTGACAGAGGTCACACAGCTGGTAAGTGCCAGCACTGAGCCACCACACGCCCACTCCAGGGTCAACTCTTACCAGCAGAGAATAATAGCAGACACCTCTGGGGAGGTAGTGCCCAGGGAGGGAAGCCTGGTGAAAGGTGGCTGTTGCTGTGACACTCCAAATACTTTAACAGATTTAAAGTTTTTACAGTAAATATGCCAATGTATTTCTTGATAACACTGGATACAAGGGTTTTATTTACATAAGCCAAACTACTAAGCTAAAATAAAATTTCATTTCATACTGAAAAATGAGGGTGCTGGGTGGCTCAGTTGGTCAAGTGTCTATCTTTGGCTCAGGTCATGATCCCAGGGTCCTGGGATTGAGTACCACACCCGGCTCCCTGCTCAGCAATGAGCCTGTTTTTCCCTTTCCCTCTGCCTTTCCCCCTGCTTGTGCTCTGTCTCTCTGTGAAATAAATACATAAAATCTTTTTTTTTTAATGATAAGAAATTTTAATCAGGCTTTCTCTTATTAGTTTATCAAATCCTCTGAACTTTCGATGTCACTGTCATTTGAGGCAGGGGAGAGGCTACTTCACTCCATATTATTAAAAGGAGTGTGTATACACACACACACACACACACACACACACACAAACACACACAAAGGTCATTGCCACTCCCTGAAAAACAAGTTAGAATAGAATTTCCGTAAGGGAAATCTCTCTTTCTTCTAGTAACACATTAGTCTACCACTATTTTTGGCCTAAAGCAGGATTTGTAAACTCAAATGTTTATAAGGATGAGTTGGGGTTACAATGGGAGAGGCAGGGATTCTGGCAAATTGAACAGAGCATATGCATCTAAGGAGGCCAACCTCTCTCCAGCAATTGTTACCATCTGCATACCACTGACCTTGCTTAGTCAAATCATCTGATTTTTCAAAAGCCCCAAATACAGATTTTTACATTAAATCTTCTGGATTTAAACTAAAAATTCCCCAAAATATTATACAGGAGAAAAAAAATGAAAGCAAGACCAAAATGTAAAGCCCTAATTTAGCCAATGGTGCCATCAGTTTGCAACCTGTAGCTTACGGAGACACCTTAGCAATGTTTCATCTTAAGAGACCAATCCTAGGTAACTAAGGTTTTCTCAGAAGTTGAAATATTTTCTCACATATTCATATGCATCTCAGAACCTCTAGGCTTCTAAAAAATTTTAGATGCTTTATCATTGTCCTTGGTAATCGACAAATCTTGCTAAAATGTTTGGCCTGCAGCTACAGGAATCCCAGCATTCAGGCAAATCATACCTCTGCCTCACAGCTAGGTACCGGAGGTCCAGGCAGCCCTTAACCACAAGACCATAGTCCTGCAGAAGCTTGCTGGCATCTTCTGAACATCCTACTCCAACTTTCAAAATAGTGCCATCTGCCAAAATGTCCAATAACGTTTTTGGTAGTGTTTTTCCTCCACAGATCAGCTTTGGCAAGCGAACCAAGACACAGAAGCCACTTGGGGAGGCCATTTGAAGGAGTGACAGAGGACTGGCTCTGCCTTCCGAATTCACCTGCAACAGAGGAAAACAGGGTCACGGTTCATGCACCAACTACAACATGAAACTGGCAAAAAAAAAAAGTCTAAGAGGTACATCTTTAATTTCCCAAAGGAAGCGTCTGACCAAATTTTGGTTCAAACTGAAGGATGAGCCTATGGCAAACAAATGCAATGGGGCCTAAACAAAGGGCCCAAATATGGGCCTGAAATGTGAATGGCCGTAAATAGTGACACAGAGGAGAGCTAGCTGAGTCACATGAGACATGTTGGTTTTAAAAGCCTAAGTGAAAAAAGGCTAAGGAATAGAGTGCCAAATGATAAACACATACTTTTCATTATCCAGACTCTCCAACACACACACTAGGAATGTGACTCATTTACCTTATCATTACTGTCTCAAGATCCAATTTTTGAAAAAAGGTAGAAAATACAGTACTATAAGTAAGTGGTATCTGCCAATATAATATATTCTGGTAGCACAAAGTGCTTTCTCAGCATTTTATGATCACAAATGGTGTTCACTGAGGGAAAAAAAAGTATATTGAACATAAGCTAAGATCCTTGTATCTTAAGAGATGAAATTAACCTTATATATTAACTGACCTGGTTTTAATCTTTTTAAGGTAACATATACATTGGAGAAAAAATGCTGAAAGCTAAAAAATTATTCTCAGAAAAATTTACATGCAAAATTCACATTAATGAAAGGTCCCCTAAAGCTATCCACAGAACCCAGGTTAAACATCCAATAAATCCCAATCTACTCATTTTTTAGGAGAAGAAATTTAGGACCTACAGGTGAAGCTATTTGCCTACACATGGAGGGATAATGACAAAGTTAGGACTGGAACCCAAATTCCCTGATCTAGAAGGGCAGTTCTCAACCAAGATTCATTTGCACCCCCTCCTCCACCCCAGGGGCATCTGGCAATGTCTGGAGAAATTTTTGATTGTCACAAGTTGGGGGATGGGGTGCTCAAGTATCTAACAGGCAGAGGCCAGACTGCTGCTAAACATTCTACAATGTACAGGAGAGCTGCTCACAACAACGAATCATCTGCCTGAAATATTCACAGTGGGGAACCCTGCTCTGGGCAATGCGGTTCTCTCACAACCATTCTATCATTGTTCTAGCCATTGCCCCACGTGCCACTGTGGATATAAAGTTATTCAAGAGATGGAACGTGGCTTAGGGATTATAGCCTTATTGGTAGAGTACGATACACACAAGCTCACATCCTCAGAAATGACATGGTAAATACCAAAGGATTGGCTGAAACAGAGTTACAAGTAATCAGAGGTAAATTACAAGTAATTTAATCGTTGAGGTGACCAAAACCACAGAGGAAATAGTCAAGATCACAGAGCTGCTGTTAGAAACAAAACTGATAAAAAAAAAAAAATTAAAAAAAAAAGAAAGAAACAAAACTGAGAGGGCTCTCATCTTTGACTTCTATTTCACTAAGTAAAACCACAGTTTGACTCATGAGAGGCTTAGGATTTCCCTTCTCAGGTAATGTTTTATCAATGAGGGCTATTTCCAGATTCTCAAATAAAAGCATGCCAGTTTCATTTCTAATATGTCTTGTTTCTTAGCACTTAACCAAGGTCAAAAAAGACCTACAAGAGGGGCAGCCCTGGTGGCGCAGCGGTTTGGCGCCGCCTGCAGCCCGGGGTGTGATCCTGGAGACGCGGAATTGAGTCCCAGGTCGGGCTCCCTGCATGGAGCCTGCTTCTCCCTCTGCCTGTGTTTCTGCCTCTCTCTCTCTATGAATAAATAAATAAAATCTTAAAAAAAAAAAGAGAGAGATTCTCAGTTTAAAAAAAAAAAAAAGACCTACAAGAAACTTGACTTACTGGTTCCTGTTCTTTTTTTTTTTTAAAGATGTATTTAAAAAAATAAATAAAGATGTACTTATTTATTTGAGGGAGGGGCAGGAGACAAGGGGCAGAGGGAAAGGGAGAAAGAGAAACAGATTCCTTCCCTGCATGGAGCCCAACAGGGGGCTGGATTTCACCACCCTGAGATCATGACCTGAGCCACAATCAAGAGTTGAACACTTAATCAACTGAGCTACCCAGGTGTCCCATGATTTTTTAAAAAATTAGTCAACTCATAAAAATGTTTGGAAAACACATGACATATATAAATATGTATCTATACATTATAAACATGTGGTATTATACTAACATGTTAGAGACATTATTTTTTTTAAGATTTTATTTATTTAACCATGAAAGACACACAGAGAGAGAGAGAGAGAGAGAGAGAGAGAGAGAGAGAGAGAGGCACAGGCACAGGCAGAGGGAGAAGCAGGCTCTATGCAGGGAGCCCGACGTGGGATTCGATCCTGGGTCTCCAGGATCACGCCCTGGGCCGAAGGTGGCGCTAAACCACTGAGCCACCGGGGCTGCCCTGCTAGAGACATTATTAAATATACACAAAACTAAAAACTTTTAATGAATGTGCCAGCAAGAATTATAGACAAAGCCCTGCGTCAGGCTCCCTGCTCCCTCCTCTCCCTCTGCCTGCCGCTCCCCTTGCTTGTACTCTCTCTCTGTCAAGTAAATAAATAAAAATCTTAAAAAAAAAAGAATTATATACAAAATTTCCAACACTTTTTCTATATTCAGTAATTCACTTAGAGAGCACTGGTTTAGGGAGTCTCCTTTCTGAGGGCCACTGGATAATCCATTTTGGCTTCATGATTTTTAGAAGTCTAGAGCTGATAAAACTTTCTGGAAAAGCCCACAATTCTTTAAATGACCCCATGATGGTAGCAGAGAGTAAAGAATGATTTGGGACAATCTTCTGGGCTTAAACAGATTAACTAATGAGCGTCCTTAGTCTGTAGAGTTTATGTATCAGTTAAATTTAGACTATGGCTTTGAGACACGAATGAGCTTGTCCTTTTCAAGTGACAGAATAAAGGCTTAATGAGGCTGGCAAGTAATAATAAGAGGATGAAAAAAAATAAGATGGGAAGAGAACAGGAGACAAATCAGAGATGCTGAGAAGCCAGTGCATGTAAATCCTTAAGTACAGATAAGTAATTAAGCCATCTCCGTTTTATTCAAAGCAATGAAAGGGTTTTAAGCAGAAGACTGAAATGATCTGACTTTCACTTTTAAAAGTTCACTTTGGTTACTATTGAGGGAGGGACTGTAGGTGCACAGGAATCCAAGCAGGGAGGCTAGTCAGGAGGATACTACAAAGGTCCAGATGAGAGTCACTTGAGGCTTGGGTAGGGGAAGCAGAGATGTAGAGAAGTAGATGGATACAGCATTAGGTAGTATTACTAGAAAAGGGTTAATAATAAGGAAAAGGGAGTAGACCTCCAGTAGGCCTGAGGCCTGGGCCTGCAGAACAATGGTCTTCCAGAAAATGACCTTCACTTTATTCAGTCTTTGTTGCACCAATTATTTGCCCCTGTTAAGCAAGGACATCTGTAGCCAGAGACTCTAGAAAAAAATCAGGCAGGAGGCAAGGGCTAGAAAGAAATTTAACATCTCCATCTCCACGTTCCCAAGAGAAAGGCATATTTTAGCTTCTAAAACATGGCAGAAACCTTATTTTGTACAAGTGATTTATGCATAATTGTACATTAACATGAGTAATTCAGGGGGCTTTGGAAACCCATACCTCTGTCTCTATCTGGTAGCATGCTGTGTTATTTCCTGTTTCTGTAATCACTTCCCTGAATTTCTATATATTTTGCCATTGAAGAAACTCTGCATACCATAACTGCTTGTTTGTATCTGACTTTCAATCTCATCATTTCTTTTGGTCAGCCCTTAGGGGAGAGGATGTCTCCCTGATTTTCATATTAAAGGTAGAGAAGACTAAGGATAATACAGATTTAAAGAGAAAAACTCAAGAGTTCTGTTAGGAACATGTTAGGTTTGAGATGACTATTAGACATTGAAGGGAAGAGGTCAAGTAGGTGGATATAAAAGCCTGGAGTTCTGATTTTGAGAGTCATCAGCATATGAAAGCTATAAAATAGATGAGATCAATTAAGAGAAGAATGTAGATTAGAGGACATAAATTGGCGTTCCATGGACGCATCTGCTGATCCACAGACATATTTAATATTATTATTATTATTTTGGTCTCCACATATTTAAAAACTTGCACCAAAATTTAAAAATTAGTAAAGCTCACATTTTTAAAATAAATCTATATTCAAAGTTTCTCTTTAAAGAATTGGACAATCCAGGAACACTTGGCTTAATCTGTATAGCAGCTTCCTCATTTACATAAGGCATGAATTCTTTAATTTACCATAATGTCTTCTCAACACTGAAGCCAACTATCATTTTCCATTTACCAGTGTTTATATACTGCTTTTTTTTAAGATTTTATTTATTTACTTATAGAGCATGCACACTTGAGAGAGAGCACACACTTGGGAGAAAGTGCACCCATGGGGGCTTGATCCCAGGACCCTCCTCTCCACCCTGCCTGCCAGAGATCATGACTTGAGCCAAAGTCAGATGCTTAAATGACTGAGTCATCCAGGCACCCCCATCACTATTCTTCTAATAGAAAGAAATATTTCTCAGGATCCATATCTCTATTAAAACTAGGAAAATAAAAGATCATAGAGACCTTGTGTTTAAGGAAAAAGCCTATTTCTTTATGAAATTTAAGAATATCTCTTCTGTTCAAAAATGCAAACCATTACTCCATATCACTCATTTACATTTCCTGTCTGGAACTTTCAGACACATGAGTTTGCAGTCCCTGGGGCAGATACAGAAGAGACCATGCTTGAGTCACTTCAGTATTTAGATGTACGGTAAAAGGGAAATCAGAAGAGGAAAAAGAGGAAAGAACAGTAAGCTAGGAGACAAGAGAGTATGAAGTCATGAACACCAAGAAGAATATCTTATGTAGGAACCATGCAGATGCTTTTGAGAGCTAGAATAACACGAGTCCAAACAAGTGTCTTCTGGATTAGAAAACAAGAAAGCTACAACTTGATCAGTTTCAGTGACATGGTATAGTAG